GGAAAAAACTGCCTGAAGGAGAAGTAAAGTCTTACTCGATTTTTCTAGGTAGATGCTTTGGATACTGGGGCGGTTCCCTTCTGGTGCAGACATTCCATGGAGGGGACACCACAAGGTCTCTCAAATCAACAGATGCCCAGCATGCAACAGGAAAGCATTGCACCAGTGATGCCGTATTGCTAGACAGCCGTGCTTTGAAATGTGCTATAAAGGCTCTCCAGGTCTATTTCTGGGGTAGAGAGGGCAGTGACATCCCAGGCCACCAACCCAACCTTTGGCCATTGTCAGAATCCAATTATATTTCATTTCTAGTTATCGACTATGGAAAAACCCGTTTCTGCCCTCTCTGGATTCTGTCATACTACGAAGGGGAAGGGGGATGAGCAAAGGGGTTTTATGGCCCTCACTTCCTTCATTAAAACTTCAAAGGGACTGAATGTGGATCTCACCAAGAGGACTGACCATAACAACATGGCCATCACCTTTTATCTACTACTCTCTGAAGTCTCCATTCTGCCGGTCGAGAGGAAAGGGAGGTGGAAATGTAACACCTGGGATTGTCGCTGGAAGGACGGTGGGGTGGGGGCTGCTTGGGAACACTTAAAACCTTGAATGGTAGATGTTGGCCCCTCAGGTCCTGTCTAGAATGCCTGCAACCATCTTCTCTTAATAAAGATGCCTGTTGGAAGAGATATTCCAGGAGTTCTGTCTTCTTAAGATGTAAAGTGGGGTGGGTCCTTACAGCCACTATAAGTGGAAAACAGGAACCGTATGATTAAGCCTTGATGCTTGATTTTCAGAGCTTATTGTGTCACAGTGGTCCACTAAACTGGCAAAATATAATAGCTGATTTTTTTTTATCTGCTATGACCAAGACATGATTGTAGCAAATCAGAAGGAAAGATAAGATTGAAAAAAGGGTTCTTGGAACTGGTCAGAAAAGATGGATTCGGAGTCTTTTGTAGCAGGTCAAGCTCGGCAGCCACTGAAGTTGAGCAGAGTGACCCCTGACCAGCTGTGAGGGCTCCTCCTCTCCCTGGGCTAGCCCAGCCGGCATACCCCTTCCTCAAAGCTAAAAGATTCTCCCCGAGGCTCCAGAGGTCGGGAGGGGCAGCCAAACCTGCCTGTCTTCCCAAAGCAATTTTTTCCCCAGTCTCAGACCTGATCGAGAGAATTCCGGGGGAGCAGCCCCTCTCTCTACCGCCAAAGGACTGCCTGCCTCCGCCCTGCCCTCTTTGCATCCAACCAATGGAGCAGGAGCTAAGAAACAGGAGCTGGAGGAAGGCAGGAAGCATGGAAGTGGAAAGGCTGGAGCCAGGGAGGTCGGATGGCTCTGGAGCTGCATGGTGGGCCCCCCAGGCAGTTGAAGTGGCTCAGCCACAGCCAACAGGGCAAGGCAGCAGCAGCCCTGAGGGAGCGCAGTGGAGGCCAGGCGCCACTGAGCGGAGGGGGTAGGCCTGCAAGCAGTCCCCACACCCCAAGCCTGGCAGGGGGGTGCTCTGAGGCCCACCTCCTGGCTGATGGATCTGTGGCTAAGACAGGACCTGGTCAGCTGGGGAATCTGCAGCCTGCAGGAAGGTCTCCCCGTCTGTAGCAGAGTGAACTCTCTAAAGCTGGGGGAGAAACGGAGGCCCCAGAAGCACTGGAAACAAGTGCATCTCTCTCTCTCTCTCTGTGTGTGTGTGTGTGTGTGTGTCTGTGAGAGAGAGAACAGAAAGAGAAAGAGAGAGAGAGAGAGAAAGAGAGAGAGAGAGAGCGCACATGGGTGCACACAACCACATACAAATCTTGAACAGCCATCAGAGAAGACCCTCCGATAGTCCTTAATTCCAAGGGATTGTGGAGGCTGTTTCTTATGTTCTGCAAGGGGGATTAGTGTCTCAATTCAATCAGAATAGAGCTGGAAGGGACCTTGGAGGTCTTCTAGTCCAGCCCCCTGCTCAAGCAGGAGACCCTATACCAGGGGTAGGCAACCTTGGCTCTTTTATGACTCGTGGACTTCAACTCCCAGAATTCCTGAGCCAGCCATGCTGAGGGGAAAGGGAGAGGTTTCCATGCTGAGCCAGGCTGGCTCAGGAATTCTGGGAGTTGAAGTCCACAAGTCATGAAGGGACCATAGTTCCCCCATGCTGGCTTAGGAATTCTGGGAGTTGAAGTCCATGAGTCATGAAGGGGCCATAGTTCTCCCATGCTGGCTTAGGAATTCTGGGAGTTGAAGTCCGCAAGTCATAAAAGAGCCAAAGTTGCCTACTCCTGGTCTAGGAGGCTCACCGCTTAGAACAGGAGGACTTAGGACAGGGGTAGGCAACCTTGGCTCTTTTGTGACTCGTGGACTTCAACTCCCAGAATTCCTGAGCCAGCCATGCTGAGGGGCAAGGGAGAGGTTTCCATGCTGAGCCATGCTGGCTCAGGAATTCTGGGAGTTGAAGTCCACGAGTCATAAAAGAGCCAAGGTTGCCTACCCCTGCCCTGTACCATTCCAGACAAGTGGCTGTCCAGTCTTTTTTAAAAAAACGTCCAGTGTGTCAGGTCCCCCAATCCTTATTGTCTTCCTTGCATATACTCTTGAGCTCTTGCTTTGGGGCCTGCCCTTCTGCTGGGGGGAGGGGGGATATTTGCTTTCGCTTGGGATAACTTTCGCTTTCTGCTTTCCTTCTTCCACCTCCATCCACTTGAGAAAGGAATGTGTCTCCCTTATCAGGGAGACGGTTACAGAGAAATGAAACTGGAGAAGACCTTGAGATGCTCGCCAACGGTGCCAGTTACCTGCACATTGTGCCACCTGTGGATTGGCTGGATTTCAGATGGACATTATGACTTTGGTGGGAGGAGGAATATTACTAGTTTAACTATACCGTCCTCAGTGTTGGAGCACCCACAACATCTGAAGGCAAATTGTTCCACTGGTTGTTTTCACTGTTGGGAAGTTTCTCCTTAGTTCCAGGTTGCTTCTTTCCTTAATCCAAGAGTCTGCAACCTTAAACACTCAAAGAGCCACTTGGACCCATTTCCTAGAGAAAAGAAAACTCTCTCTCTCTCTCTCTCTCTTTCCTCTCCCTCTCCCTCTTTCTCTCCTCCCTCCCTCCCTCTCTCCCTTTCCCCCCCCTCTCTCTCTTTCCTCTCCCTCTCTTTCTTTCTTTCCTCTCCCTTTCTTTCTTTCCTCTCCCTCTTTCCTCTTTCTCTTTCCTCTCCCTCTCCCTTTCCTCTCCCTCTCCCTTTCTTTCCTCCCTTTCTCTCTCCCTCTTTCCTCTTCCTCTCTCCCTTTCTCTCCTCCCTCCCTCTCCCTTTCTCTTTCCCTCTTTCTTTCTTCTCCCTTTCTTTCCTCCCTTTCTTTCTTTCCTCTTTCCTCTCCCTCTCCCTTTCCTCTCCCTCTTTCCTCCCTTTCTCTCTCTCTCCCTCTTTCTCTTTCCTTTCTCTTTCCTCTCTCTCCCTTTCTCTCTCCCTCCCTCCCTCCCTCTCTCTTTCCACTCCCCCTTCTCTCTTTTTCTCTCTCCCCCCTCTCTCTGATCTTCTGCTCACCTGGCAAGCTGGCTTCAGGCTCTTCTCCAACAAGCTGACACATATTATTGGGCTGGCTCTCTCCTGCCCTTCCTGCTTCCTGCAGAGACCAGCAATGGGAGGAGCCCCACCCAATAACTTGTCAGCTTGTCGGAACAGCATGAGTCCACTCTCTTTTTTGCACACACACACACAGAGAGAGAGAGAGAGAGAGAGAGAAGTAGGGAAGCACAAGTGCCTCTCTCTCTCTGTCTCTCTCTCTGCAAATGGCAGAGGAGGCTGGGAGCCGCAGGGGAAGGTTCAAGAGCCACATGTGGCTCTGGAGCAGCAGGTTGCCGACCCGTGCCTTAATCTGTTCCCATCTACTGTTTCTTGGCTTGCCTTCTGGTGCTTTGGAAAATGTTGAAACCCTCCCCCTTCTTTGTGGCAGCCTCTCAAATACTGGAATACTGCTATCATGCTTTTCTCTAGACTGGCCATACCCAATTCCTGCAACCGTTCTTCATATGTTTTTGTTGTCAAGCCTTTAATCGTCTTAGTTGCTCTTCTTTGCACTTTTTCCAAATCTCAACATTTTTTTGTAACGTAGTGACCAAAGATTGGATGCAGTATACCTGGTGTGGCCTTACTAAGGTTTTACAAAGCGGTACTAATGCTTCATGTAATTTTGATTCTATGCCTCTGTTTATACAACCAAAAATTGTATTAGCTTTCTTGGCAGCTGCCGCACACTGCTGGCTCATATTCAAGTGATCATCCACTAGGACTCCAAGGTCCCTCTCACAGTTACTGTTTTTGAGTCTCTTCTTTACATCACCCCAGTTAATATTTGAGATGTTGTAAGCAGCTGCAGCAGGACCCCCTCGCTTGCATTGCTCCAATTAACCTTAAAACAGGAAGTCTAAAATGCAGGTGGAAACCGAAGCTCTTTTGAGGGAGAGACTGCCTGGCTCTTTGCTGGCGGGAGCTGAGACATGCCTCCCCAGGACTGCTGCTCTTCCCCCGCAGAGGGGATCAGATTGCCTGTCTGGAAACCCCTTGAAAGATTTGATTGCCTCTGGCTGCTGAGGCAAGCAAAGGAGAATGAGCAGAACAAGCGAGGGGCTGCCAGGGACCCTCTGCTTTGGGGAGACGGAGACGGCAATGCCACCGAGGGCAGCAGATCTACAGAAGGACTGAAAACGTGGCTCAGCACTCCTGGCCCTGGCAGGTGGTGGTGGGGAGGCAAGGGCAGAATTTGGCACACCTTGGCAGCTGGAGAAGGTGCTCCAGAACTGGCTGGGCCACGCACAGTGCTCCTCGGGGGTGGAGAAAGACAGTTTTTCTCAGTTAAGGCTGAAATACATGCCCCCCCCATGCCGGTAGGAGAAACGAAAGCATCCTCCCCCTGGAACCCGTGCCCCCTTCTCCCAGCAAAGGAACCTGCTGGAGCTCTGCCAGGCTGCCTTTGGGTTGGCTGGGACTTATTTCACAGGAAGGAAGAGGAGACAAGAGGCCGTCAAGAGAGACTCTGGGAGAAGCCACGGGCTGAGCCTCAAGTACCCGTAATAGCAGAAATCTGTGCTTTATTCAGGGGGGGCAAAACAGCCAGGGGAGTTGAGGGATGGGGACCTCATACAAGAGGGCATCTCCGAGGTTTCATGACTGCAGGGCTAGGAAGCAGGTGCCCTTAGTGTTTACATAGTGCTCTTTATAAACTCTATTTTTATATCATTATGAAAAATAAAATCCATCCTTGGGCCTACCCTGATTGCACCATTGAAAAGTTCCTGAAGTCCTCACCAACCCCGGCAGGATGGCCGTGTGCTGCAGTGGCCCTGGCTCGAGGGCTGGACTTTGGCCCGCTGGGCTGGTCACTCACGGCCAGAACAGAGGCAGACTGCTGGAGAACTGAAGCTGCTCCTCCAGCCCCCCCCCCCCCAGCCTCTCTCATTCCCAGCGGAAGTCCCGCCCCACGGCCTCATAGAAGCGGATGTTGTAGGGGCGGTAGAAGTCCTGCAGCTGCTCCAGCACATCCGGGTCAATCTGGACATGAGGCCTGCCTTTCGATTTCCCCAGGCAGCGGGGCAGCGGGCCTCCCCCGGCCTTCTTCAAGCAGGGGAAGCCCTTGGTCTTGTTGAAGAAGAAGTGTTTCTCGGTGATGAGCCGCTTGAGGCCCAGGAAGTCCTGTACTTTGGCCATCTCCTCTGCAGGGTCCGTGATGAGCCGCTCCCCACTGACAAAGTGGATCTGGGAGAGCGGGAAGTACTGGAGCCAGCTCTCCAGGTGCAGCGCGTAGAGGCCGATGCGGATGGCGCTCCAGGAAGTGTCCACCAGGCCGAGGCTGCGGTTGCGGAAAGAGAGCCCCTCGAAGGTGGGGATGCCCGGCCTCTTGGAGAGGGTCTGGGTGTAGTCCGAGATGGCCCTGGTGACGGGGTTCCTCACCACCACAATCAGCTTCGTGTTCCGCGACATGTTGAAGATGCGCTGGGGGGCTTCTCTGGTGATGAAGTAGCTGGGCGTCTTCTCCATGGTGATCTGGCTCTCCAAGGTGCGGGGCATCAGGTGCCTGCAAAGGAAGGGCACCCACAGGTGAGGGGCAAAGGGGAGAAGTGACATGACAGGAGGAATTCCCCCACCACCATCGCCTCAGGGTCTCCTTGGAAGTCACCAAAGAGATTCTATGAGAAACACCTTTTGCCTCTTTGGTCTTCAAAGAGTGGAGGTGCTTCCCTCCAGGCAGGTTGAACATCTCCTAAAAGAGACAATTCTGCAGAACTATTTCACTATATTGTATTCTGCCTCAATCAATGGCATAGCGGTTAACACATAAATGGAAAACAATGTTAAAAATTCATAGTAGCCATAAAAACTAAACAACAATAAAATAATAACTCAGAAAAATAAAATAAATAACATTAAAGTAGAGATGGGCCATAATGAATCAAACCTTCTCCAGCATCTTTCAAAACACAGTCAAGGAATCTTGGATCTTCTAATTGGCTACTTGACCAGTGAACCTTCCATCCACGATGACCATCCAGTTTGTCTTTAAACATCTCCATCAAAGGAAACTTTGCCACTTCTTTGTCCGAAATGGTGTAGGGTTTCCTGCCTGAGCAGGGGATTGGACTAGATGACCTCCAAGGTCCCTTCCAACTTTACTACTATTACTATTACTTCTCAAGGAAGCCTCTTCCACTGCTGAATAGCTCTAACCACAAAGAAAACTGTTGTGTTTTGTCCCTGAAAAAGTTTGCCCGTCTTCTTCATGACAGAGTCTCAGATACTTGAAGACAGCCACCATTTGTAGCCTTCTCTTCTCCAAGGCTAAACTTCTGCATAACACTTTCCTTCTGGCCTCTGATCATCTTCCTTTCTCTTTGGATATGTCCCGGTTTGCTAATATCCTTCCTAAAATTCAGTGTGGACACAATATTCTAGTACGGTTTGTTCAGTTCAGAATAGAGTAAGAATGCTCTCTTGATCCTGACATTATTCAGTGGATGCAACCTAGAACTGCATTTGGCACATGTGCAGCTTGTAATCTAGTGCAAACCACACTTTGATATCATTTCTACTAGAATTTCATGCAAGACTTCATGAGCTGAAATCAAGGCACACTATTCCAACTAGGGTAGTCTCTCTGCCAAGAAAGGAGATCAGGCATCAGGTCTTGGGACTAGATGGCTTATAGGATTCCCCTGCGCTGGTCTGGGCCACAGAGATCCACCACATCCTGTAGGCAGCAATCACCATTAAAATGCTGCTCCTGAACTGGAGAGCCAGTGCAGATTCCACCTGGGCGTTAGTGCTGGAGACATTTTGGAAGAACAAAATCCCTGCTCCTAATCTCTTAGGAAACCACAATAGGGAAATGGTCTTCCGGGTCCAAAGCCTGGCCTCTGAGGGCCCCGGGGCCCCTGCACTGCCTCTCTTCCCAGCGCTGCTGGCTGGGGACTCTGGCTGGGGGGGTGTCAGTCTGGGATGGCTTCCTCCTCGGGCTTTGCAGCACCCCCTTCGCACCAGTAGGGAAATGCTCCCCCAGTTTGCAAAACAGGGAGGGCCTGATTCTGGCCCTGCTCCAGCCTGGTTGGGGAGGCAGCTGGGAGTGCTTGAAACAGGCAAAGAAACTCCAGACAGCCTGGCCAGCTCCTTATTTTCATGAGGCAATCTGGGAAAAAGACTAATCTAAAGTAAAGGCTCATTTCAGAATGTTGTTAAAGCAGATCAGCACAAAAATGTGGCCTCTCCTTTTCCAGATGAAACAGAGCCCTCTGCTCTCCCCCTCTACCTGGTTAGAGAGCAGAGTGCTAATGCTAGGCATAAATGCTAGGAGGCAAATGACTGGTGGAAGGCAGCTAAGGCTGATTTCAGAGAGGAGGGGCTTTGTACTTCTGGGAGGGGGCATTTCAGCTGACTTGCCTCCAAGGTAACAACTGACCACATTACAAATTTACATGCCTGACCACTGTGGTTAGCTTGGGCCACTTTAAGGAGGAAAGTGCTACTTTTACCCAACGAGCAGCATCAGCGGTGCTTTCATTCTCTGACTGAAGGCAAGATAAAGCTGGCCCCATGAGGAAGGATGGGGGGGCATAATGTGGGTAACAAATGCTCAAGTGCAAGAAGGACTGTGGCTTATAGGCTTTGAAGCAGCTTTGCCTAGTGCCCTGATGCATGCAGTTTCTGAGCAAAAAGACCCCTTGCCTGGGTTGAAGGAGATTCTCCCTATAATGGCTCAGGCCTCACCCAGGCGGGGGCTGAAGATGCCCAGAGCCTCCGTCATTGCGCAGTTTGCTCCATGTTATCCTGATCACAAGGCACATGCTGGTGGGTGTTGCTGTACAGGTCCAATCGGGGACGCTGGCCTTCTAGAAAGAGGGCTCAACAGGATCAGCGTAGTGAAGGACTTCATTTAAAAGAAATATTAGTCAAACGGGATGGGACAGGGAGGAACTTCAGCAGGAGCAGACAGGTCCATCCAGGGCTTATTGGTTCTGCACCTTTTAAAGGAGCCTCTCTGGAAGACCACAGGAACCCCCACAGAAGACGCTTTCCAGGTTGGCTCCTGAACCGCCTTCCCACAACAAAAGCCTCTCAGCGGGGACCCTTGGAATGGACCCCTCCCCAAATGCCCCTCATTCTACTGAGCCAGGTTCGGAGGTGCCCTTCCAGAGCAAGGCTGGTTGCCCAACCCCTCATGCCTCCATTTGGCTCCCAAGATCCGTGAAGGGAAACCTTAGCTTACAATTAGAACCACCAGAACATTAGAGATCAACTAGTCCACCCCCTGCTCTAGCAGAGGAAAGGCTCTGCTGAGTTTCCTCCTCAAGATCAGACCAGCTGGAGTGCCGGCTGCCTCTCCGCTCCCGCTCCTCTTCTTCCCTGCCCTCCCTTTTGTGCCGAACGGAGGCGGAGAGGATCTTGGCGCCGTCAGAGCTGCAGCGAGTTCGAAGCCTCCTTCTCAGCATTCTGAGCCAAGGGAAGTGAAGGCTGCGCGGGTCGCCTTCGCGCCCTTGGAGGGCTTTGGCGGAGGATCTAACGCAGGCGTGGAAGTGCCCGGAGCGAGGCAGCCATGAACCGGCTGACCGGCTGACACACCCGGGGGCAGAACCTCCTTGGGCAACTGCCCTGCCTGGGCCGTCCCGACTGGGAAGCTCACTCCTACCTGGAGGGAGGGGCTTCCCGAGGCAGCTCAGGTGGGAAGGTAAGCGGGCTTTCTGCCAGGGGCGGCGGCGAGAAACGCCGGAGGGCGGAATAGCAGAGTCTCCCCGCCTGCTCAGAGGAGGATTCCCGGGAAGCCGCCCCAGAACCCGCCGCCCCTTCTGCTCGCTTGTTTCGCGGCGCCTCCTGGGGCTCCCGTCGGGCAAGAAACCGCCAGGCCGAAACGTGGGCCGGACGGGGAGCAGAAGCGCCGCTTCCCGCCGCCGCCGCCGCCGCCGCCGTCCGCACGCGGACCCGCCCGGGGGTGGGGAGGCTGAGGGTCGGCGGGACAGCCGGTCGCGCGAGGCGGCCGTTCCGGGCGAGCCGAGGCGCCCCCGAAAACGCGCGCCGGGCGCCGGGCAGGGTGGCGGTGGCGCCGGAGTCGCGGAGCGCGGCTGCGGGGTCCCGGCGCTCCAGCCCCGACGGAGAGCAGAGCGCCGTCCCGGGCGCCCCGGAGCGACGGGAAGGGGCGCTCGGCGGCTCTCCGCCCGCCCGAGGCCCGCGGCGGCCGCTTCCCGAGCGTTGCCCAGCCGCCCCGCCCCGCCGCCTCACCTGTACCACTCCAGGCCCCGCTCGTAGTGCCGGTCGAAGAAGTGGGGCTCGGTGCCGAGGGCGCGCACGGCCGGGTGGCCGCGGATGAACTCCAGCACGGCGCGGGTGCCGCCCTTCTTCACGCCCACGATCAGCGCGTGCGGGAGCCGCTTGGCCACGGCGGGCTTGCTCCGGCCGCTCCCGCCGCCCCCTGCTCCGGCGGGCCGGGCCGAGGGGGCGGGCGGGTCCCGGGCCGAGGCCGGCGCGGCGGCGGCGGCGGGGCAGGCGCGCCACTTCTGCAGAAGTTTCTTGCGGGGGGCGGCGGCGGGCAGGGCGGGCGGGCAGCGGGCGGCGGCGGCGGGGGCGGCGGGGGGCGGCGCGGGCGGCTGGGGGGCGCAGCAGAGGAGCAGCAGGCGGTAGCAGAGGCAGCTGCCCGAGAGCGAGAGCAGCGCGCCCAGCAGCAGCGCCCGGCAGCGCCGCAGCCGCCGCCTCCGCCGCCCGAGCGCCATGGCTCCATCGCCGGCGGCGGCGGCTCCCCGGCCGGCACCAGCGCGGGGTCGGGGCGCGCGGGGCCGGCGAGCTCGGCGGCCCGCCACTGCCGACCCCGCTCCCGCTGCGGCGCCTCTTTAAGGGGCCGCCTGACGTCAGCCGAGCCGGAGCCGCCTCCGCCACTGCTGGCAGGCGGAGCCCCCGCCCCGAGTGGCCGCGGGGGCAGAGCGCGGGTTCCCGCCGCCCGCCCGCCCGAGGGCTGCCGGCCGAGAGGCGGGAGGGGAGCCTCGGCGCGGAGGGCGGCCGGCCCGGGGGCGAGGCGCCGCTTCCTCGCGGGGCCCCGGACGACGGGGCGGCTGTCCGCTGGGGACGGCCCCGCTTCAGCTGGCGCTGCCTGCAGGACGGGCCTCTGCTCGGGGAGCCCCGGGTCCGGCTGGCATCGCCCAGCCGCGGGAGGTTCCTGTGCTGCCCGCACTCCCGGCTCCTTTGTCCCTGCGCCGCTGGGTCTCCGGTCTCGGAGATCGACGGGCTGTTGCGCTCCTCCGACGGCTCCGCTTCTGGGATCGGCTGTCGGCGTGGAGAGGCTGCCCGGCGCTGGAGGGAGGGCTAAAGCGGGCTGCTGCGGGGGCGGATAGTGGAGCAGAGCCGGGGAGAGCAGCAACGGCCAGCCGAGGGATCCCCAGCTCCCCTCTGGACTCAGAGCGGCCGATTCCTCTGAGGCAGACCCAGCCCCATTTCCTCCGGCATCCTTTGGAGGCCCCGGGCCCCCGGGAGGGGCTTCCCAAAGTGGGCTTTCCCCCCAGCGATGCCTCCTGCAGGGGCCCCGGCTGACTGCAGGCGGGGCGCTCTTCGCCCCGAAGGATCCAGCTGGAGGGCCGCGGTGCCCGTTTGAGGAGGAATATCTTGCCAGGGCGCAGAAGGGGCGGCTCCTCCTGACAAAGTGAGTGGGAGAGTTTTCCTCCCTCCTCCTTTGAAGAAGGGGGCCTCCACCCTCAATCTGCCCTGGTTGTGCAGTGGGTCCCCAGCAATGTCAGTTCTGAGCAGCCTCCCCTGGCATGAAGCAGAGCCCAGGCAGAGAAGGAGTCGGTGCCTTGTGGCTGGGCGGAGCTGCAGGAGGCAAGGAAGAGTTTTAATCCCTACCAGTTGATTACTGAGATGATTCAGGATTAATCTTCCCAGCTCTGTCACTGAAGGGATCAACCCTAGGAGCTGCTGAGGAAGGCAGTCTCTGGGGCTGCCCAGGCCTTGCTACCCACACCACAGCGGCTGGCCTGCAAAGATCCAAGGGGAGGGTGGGCAGGCCTGGCCAAGCGCACCGTGATGTGACCCCCACCTGGGATGCTCTCCCCCCCCCCAGGTCTCTGGATGGGCGGATCCTGCTGCAAAACCCCTTCCTGCTTGCTGTCCATGGCTGGTCTCGCTCCTGCCGCTGCTGCACAGATGCCACTCCGTAAATGTCAGTCCTGTTAATTACCTGGATTTAATTGGGGCAAAGTTTTAATTGCATCACTACACTGGGCAAAGTTTGATAGATTTGCTCATTAGTGACCCGGCTTGGAACCACCAGCCTTCTGCAGCTTTCAGAGAGAGAGTGGGAACTGCTGGGTGGGGTGTGCTGGAGAGACAGGCTGCCATAAGGGAAGCAGCCATTCCTAGCCACCCCCAAAAAAACTCTGGAAAGGAACTGTCAGTCTCCTTAACTGCCCCTCCCCAGAGGTTATGCCGTTTCACCTTTTTCTAGGGAATGGGCACTTTTCCAGACCGAGCACTGGGTGGCAGGGATTTTGTGGCCATTCCTTTCTAAGGGAGCCTCCTTGGAGAGGAAAGCAGGGCTGCAGCCTTCCCGCCTGCCGGTTTCCTTTGTGGTTCATTTTCCAAATAAACAAATCTTTGAAAAAACAAATTAAAAAGCTAATGCGATGCAGAAAGGGGAAATCCCCAGGAGGGGATCGTGGGCACTTTGAGTTTACTGGCTGCCACATCTAGTAAATCTCTGTGTGTAAAAGGAGAGCAAATTGGGGGGGGGGAGTGTGTGAGTCAGGAATCTGAGGAAATCTGTCCTCAAACCTGCCAAGTATCTATTGATGGCCAGAAATTATGGAGGAGGAAGAGGATCCTATGTAAAACCTATGCACTTTCTCTAATCTTGAGGGCTGTTTTGACTCATTTCTGCTTTCTTCTTGTCTTGAGCAGATCTGAAAGACAATCCCTTTTCCCCAACATCAGTGGGAACTTTGATAAGGACCTGGGGCTGGCCTTGTGACATCCAGCATCTCTGTGCCACATGGCGAGGAACATTGGCACATCTCCTGGCCCTGCACAGCCCTGTCCATGGAGCGCCCTTGCCTGATCCAGCTCACCTGGGAGCATCCATGGCTCTGGAGACCTTGCTGTGTCTTCTTCAGATTCTTCCTCTGGTTCCTTTCCTGCTGCTGCATAAGCTGAAATTTTCCTGAGCAAATCTTTCTGTCTTTCTGCCTGGCTTGGAGTGGATCTTGCCCCCTTCAGTGTTCCACTCAAGGGAGAGTAACCACAGTCTCTCGTGACAATACGGGGGCATCCATATCCTGACTTGTTCACATGCCATACACGGTTAACACCTGTCCCTCTCACCACAAGGAGAATATTTGGGGAGGAAAATAGGAAAGAGGGAGAGGACAGGAAATTCTCACAGGTGCCAGAAATCTCACATCTTACCAAATTACCAAAATAATTCAAGGGACTGGTAAAAGAATAAATGGGAAGAAGCGATTGGAAGAACGACACCTTTCCAGAGCATTTTGAGATTATTCAAAAACCGAGTTTTCTTTTATAGTAGATCCAGAAAGACACCATCAAGCCTAGCCGGGTCCCAGGAGGGGTTGGAGAATCCTAGAATTGGGTGGTGGGGGGCTCATGACAGGAATCCAACTCAGGCAGGCCAGGCAGGAGAGCCATTAGCCTCTCCCTGGCTCCCCCAAACCCAGAGGCTCCAGTAAGGTCCTTCAGAGTACAAGTATTGAAGAATGTTGTGTGTGTGTATGGATGCTTGAGTGAATAATGAAGTGTATACACACACACACACACACACACACACACACACACACACACACACACACACACCTGGAAGAGAGGGAACAGGGCATGCTTAGCCTACAGACTGCTCTTTGGGGAGAGACACAAGAGCAGTCCAGGTATCTGAAGAGTTGTCCTACAGATGAAGGGACTTGTTCTCTGCTGCTCTGCAGGGCAGGACCAAAAGCAGCAGATTTTGATGGCAAGGAGGTAGATTTATGTTAGGTATTAGAACTGCCCTGAGGGTAAAAGCTATCAATTAGTGGAACAGGCTCCCCTCAGTGGAGCCCTCAAAAGAGAAATTGTCTGAAATGCATTAGCAGAACATGCACTGAGCCGGGGATTAAATGATATGATCCCTGACGTCCCTTCCAACACTGGGGTCCTATAACTCTGGCCTAATTTCTTGAACCCCAAGATGCCACGTTCGCTTTCTCCTCAACTTTTCTCTGCTTTTACCAATGGTTTGTTTGCTGGTTTGTATCCCACCTTTCTCTCCAACATACCTTCTTCCTCCTGTTTTCCCCACCCTGTGAGGTGGGATGGGCTGAGACAGAAAAAAAAACTGGCCCAAAGTCACCCAGGGAGGACTTGAACTCATGGTCTCCTGGCTTCTGGCCTAATGCCTTAACCACCAGACCAAACAGTTCCTTATTCAACCTGCTTTTCTCCATCGGTTAGGGTTAGGTCTAAGAGAATGGATCCCCTTGCCTTTTCTGGGGAAAAAAAGTAGCCAGTACCCATCATGTTCTCTTCTGCAAGCATCTTTTCTCTGCCAGAGCTTGTGAAGGCCTCTTCCTCAAGACCCAGCAAGCTTTTCTGAAGCTCAAAGGTGTGTGTTTCACAAACTGCAAATTACCAGTTTGCTTCTGGGTTCAATTCAAGGTGCTGCTAATGACCTATAAAGCCCTTTGTGGCACAGGACTGGTTTACTTGAGGGGCTGACTCTCCCTGTCACCTCTACTCACCCCACTAGGGTCCTATCAATGTTAGTACTGCTTTATAATGCCTTGGTTAAGACCACACTTAGAATACTGCCTCCAGTTTTGGTCACCACAATAGAAACAGATGTTGAGACTCTGGAAAGAGTGTAGAGAAGAGCAACAAAGACGATTAAAAACCTGGAGGCTAAAACATATAAAGAACGGTTGCTGAAATTGGGCGTATCTAATTTAATGAAAAGAAGGATCAGGGGTGATATGATAGCAGTGTTCCAATATCTCAGGGGCTGCCACAAAGAAGAGAGGGTCGACCTATTCTCTAAAGCACCTGAGGGCAGGACAAGAAGCAACGGATGGAAACTAATCAAGGAGAGAAGCAAGCTAGAACTAAGGAGAAATATCCTGACAGTGAGCACAATTAATCAGTGGAACAACTTGTTTCCAGAAGTTATGGGTGTTCCAGCACTGGAGGCTTTTAAGAAGAGACTGGGCAGCCATTTGTCTGGAATGGTCTATGGTTTCCTGCATGAGCAGGGGTTGGGCTAGAAGACCTCCAAGGTCCCTTCCAATTTATTATTCTGTTATTCCTTTAATTAAGTAATGGCATCTGCTGTGATCCTTTGGAAGATCATCCCCCCCCCCAGGTCAGATTGGTCCCAACCTTGATGGCCTCCCAAAGGGCCTCAAGATGTGGCTTGGGGATCTGGTTAGGGGATCTGGTTTGGGGATCTGGTGACATCGGTGCAGAAGCTGCAAAATGGTTGGACTGTTAGAAAATGAATGGTGCTTTCCGCACATTATGATTTTTATGGTTTTAATATATTTATTGTTTAATGGTTCTTCTTGTTAAATTTTGTGTTTGTTTTAATTTGAAGGGAGTGTGAACTGCCCAGAAGTGAGACGGACAGCTACATAAATTCAATAAACAAATAAAAATACTTAAACAGGTTTGTTCACAAATAAATAATATTCCTGATGTAAAGGGAGTGATGAAGGTGAGAAGCCAGCACTAACCTGTGAGATGGGAAAGCCTTGGGGAGGGGACGGGCAGCTCTTGTCCCAAGGCAAAATGGAGATGTAGCCCACCACGCTCAGCCTCTGGGATTCCGAGGACCAGAATTGTAGGGTGACTACTCCAAATCCAAGTGGTTGCCCCCAACATCCCTTCCCTTGTCACTCTGGTTGGAGGCAATACGCAACTGGTGCCGAGGACTGACATTCACACCATGCTCTAGCCAAGGCTTCATAAATGCTTTAAATAAACAAAGAGGGCTGGAAGGGGCTTGGCTTCTGGTTTGGGATATATGGCAGTCTGGCTGCTGACCTTCTTTTAAACTTTGCTACTTGATGGGACGGAGAAAGGTGGTCTTTTGGGGGCTCTCTGAGCGCTGGAAGGATTTCCCTCTGATACATGACGGGCCCCAACTCTGCTCACTTTCAGCGGCCCCACAGAGACTTGCCTTCCTCCCCAGGCGTTTGGCTCCAGTTGAGCAGAGTTCCTTTTGGGTGGTTTCCATTATTGCATTTGGTCATCATTTCATTTTTTCTGTTTTACATTTATTTGTCGTGCATGTTTTATGTTCTTTCACTTTATTGTTTGTGTGTCTGCTGCATGCCAGAATCGCGTTGCCCGAGTTGGGCAGCCTTGTGAATCCAGATAAATGTTGGTGGTTCATTTGGCTGGGATGGCACGTTTCGTACACAGCCTTCTTTCCTTCGCTCGTCTTCTGGCACAATTGCTCTGGCTGCTGTTGGGCAACCTGGCAGCACGCCAGGGGATGGGAAGAAGAAAGGAATGCGATCTGCCATTTGAAAGACCAAATTCTGCTCTCCGGGCCATTGCCAGGAACGGATGGGAGAGCGCTCAGGCCCAGCAGCCAATGGCTTCCCTTGGGAGGCTTCTTGTAGCTTAGCTCCCTGCAATGGGCGTCTCTCACCTGGAAGCAAAAAAAGGACTGCTGCTGGCACATCCTTCAGTGCTGTGGGGACACCATCCTCTCCTGCACACGGAGAGCCAGAGCAGCATTACACACCCCTTCGCTGCCTGTAGCGAAGGAGGACTTCCGGTGGCCTTGCTGGGTTGCTCCCTCTGCTCTCTGAGTGCCTCTTGTACAGCTATGAAGTACTGGCCCCTCACCCAAGCCCCACACTCAGGAACGTGGACTGCATGGGAAGTCCCAGCTTGCCCTGGGTGGAACCTGGGATGGAAGCACAATGAATAGAATAGAATAGAACAGAACAGAACAGAACAGAACAGAACAGAACAGAACAGAATAGAATAGAATAGAATAGAATAGAATAGAATAGAATAGAAAGGGACCTTGGAGGTCTTCTAGTTCAACCCCCTGGTCAAGCAGGAGAACCTATACCATTTCAGACAAGTGACTGTCCAGTCTCTTCTTAAAAACCTCCAGTGATGGAGCACCCACAATTTCTGAAGGCAAAACTGTTCCACTGGTTAATTGTCCTCACTGTCAGGAAGTTTCTCCTTAGTTCCAGGTTGCTTCTCTCTTTGATCAGTTTCCAGCCATTGTTTCTTCTCCTGCCCTCTGGTGCTTTGGAGAACAACCTGACCCCCTCTTCTTTGTGGCAGCCCCTCAGATACTGGAATACTGGTATCATGTCTCCCCTATTTCTTCTTTTCTTTAGACTAGCCAGACCCGAATCCTGCAGTCGTTCTTCCTGTTTTAGTCTCCAGGCTTTAGTTGAAGTCACATGGAGGGGGGAGAAAGGGTCAAAGGTGTGTGATGAAGAGGGTTCCTTTCAACCACAGTTTTGTTCTTCCAGAAATGTTCGTATTTCCTAGCTTTCCTCTTATAAAATTCTGCAGGCAGCTGAAGTCAATAATGTAGAATTTATTGCTCAACCCAATGCAATTGGGCCATAGAACTGCCCTTTTGTTTGCTCTCTCTCTTTACTTAATGGATGAGCTTGGCTGAAAATTTTTGTTCATTTCAAAACCTACTTGCTTAACTAGTGATGCTCTAAATTATAAAAGTGAATATCCCACATAATACTGACATGTTTTATGAAAGCAGATTAAATAGACCGAAATGCATAATCTCGTTGAGGCCTTCTGCGGCTCAAGATAGTGAAGGAATATGGCAAAATCTTCTTTGCCATCAGCTGGCAAATAAAATGAGATGTTTCAGGTCAGCATCATTTATGCCCCCAACACAAACTTGTGGGTGGTGAATGCAGGAAGGTGGTGGCATCCTGCTCAGGTGAGGGCTGGTTCTGGTTGGCCTTCAGCAGCAGCCTACAGCTGGACTTGAGTGAGCACATCCAGCCCTCATGGCTGGCAAAGCCAAAGTGGACAATTATACTTAGGTGGTGGCTGAATGCTTGGAAGACAGATGAGACAGGTCAGGAGAAGAAACAACCCCGTTAGGGCTATTCATTGCTGTTTAGGATTGATGAATCGCCCTACGTGGGTCGTTTTT